TCTGAGAGTCACTGATTCTCAGTTTAGAGTCTTCCATCCTGTAAGTATTGGCAAAATTCTTGTTCCCAAATGTATATACAATATTTGAATTTGGCAGTATTACAATGCCCAATGTTTGCTTGCTACCAGTTTCCCAAGTCATTTGTCTATTACATTATTTTCCACTCCCAACTTTTGCATAATCAGCAAACTTTATCTTAATTTTATCTTTTGTCCCAGGTCATTGATAAAAATGTTAAACAACTAGGCTCAAGAACTGATCTCTTTCAGGGAACCCATTGGAAACTTATCTGCTCAATGAAGATTCTGCATTATCATTACATTTTGAGGCCTATCAATAAGCCAGTTTTTAAGCCATTTAACCTCTGCCATTAGTTCTAGTTTTAAAATGAAAATATCAAACAATATTAAATCAAACGCCTTACAGAAGTCTAAGTAGATTACATCAACATTATTACTTTTGTCAACCAAAGTTGTAATCTCATTTTTAAAAAAAGATACCAGGTTAGTTGACATAATCCATTTTCCATAAATACATGCTGACTGGCATTAATTATATTTCCCTCCTTTAATTCTTTATTAATTGAGTCCTATATCAGCTGCTCGATTATCTTGCTTGGGATCAATGTTTGACTGACAGGACTATAGTTACCCAGGTCATCCTTTTTTAAAAACTGGCACAAGGTTAGCTATCTTTCAGTCTTCTAGAACTTTCCCAATAGTCCAAGTCTTATTGAAAATCAACATTACAGTGAGCTCCTCTGACAGCTATTTTAAAGCTCTTGGATGCAAGTTATATGCACCTGTTGATTTATAAATATCCAGCTTTAGTAGCTTTTGCTTAACATCCTCCAGAGATGATAGTAGAATGAAAGGTGTGTGATTATCATCCCCATGTGGTGAGTCTACGTTGCTCATTCTCTCCCCCCCCCCCCCCATATACAAAAAAGAAATATTTATTGAACACTTCTGCTTTTTCTGTGTTATTGTTGATAATCCTGCCATTCCCATCTTGTAATGGACTTACATGTTGTTAGGACTTATTTTGTTCCTAATATATTTTAAAACTGCTGCTTATTTTCCTTAGCTCTGGTGCACAGAGTTCTTCATTAATCATTTTTTTCCTCTTTTCAACTTTCTACAATTTCTAACTTCTGCTTTATATTAATTACTATCAATTTACCCTTTCATTCACTTGTATAGTATTTTAATAATTGTTTGTAGTCACCTTCACTTCCCCTCTACACCAGTTAATTTTTAATCAGTATGGCCTTCTTTCTTGATTGTGGTTTTTGTACATCTAGTAACATGTTCTTAAATTATTTCTAATTATCATTCGCATTTTCTGAGTAAATACTTCCTCCCAGATGATTTGGCTCGTAATTGTTTTCAGCTTTTCAGAATTGGCCCTATTAAAGCACCAAATATATATATATTCTGGTCTGGACTTTATTATGAATGTGTTCAAGTTATAATAATTTGTGTCTAAGCTAGGCTTAATTTTCAGTCCAGTAATCAGTTCCTGTTTGTTTATTAAGACAAGAGCTAATAAAGAATTTTCCCATGTTGGCTGAAACACTTTTTGAGTTAAGGAATTGCCATCTATAATGTTTACAAATACCAAGAATGTTTTAGCATTGGCAGCATGAGACCTCCAGCATATGTCATTCAAATTGAAGTCCTCCATGATCACACAGCTTTTCCCCCATACACATTATACTGTACATAGACACACGCATTCTCTTCTCTATTGTGATTTGGTGGTCTGCAGTAGACACCAAGTAACACTCCATCTTGTGCCTTATCTGTTAGGATATTTAGCCATAAACATTCAATATAATTATCTTCTAAGTTATCAGTGACTTGGAAATGGGTTATGCTGTTTTTGACAGTTCAACTCTCCTTCCCCTTTTGCCTGCTTGATCCTTCCTGAATAGATTCTAAGGGTGTGTCTAGACTACAGGGTTTTGTCGACAAAAATGGACTTTTGTCGACAAAACTAAACCTGCGTCTACACTACCACTGAGTTCTCTCAACATAACGTCGACAGAACTCAGCAGTTTTGTCGACGCTGGTAAATCTCATTTTACGAGGAATAACGCTTTCTGTCAACAGAGTTCTGTCGACAGAAAGCGTTATTGCATCTAAACTGTCCTTTGCATCTACACTGCCATGTCGATAAAGCAGCTTGCTTTGTCGACAGAACTGAATATAGTCTAGATGCTCTTTGTCGACAGAAGCTTTGTCGACAGTATCTGTCAACAAAACTTCTGTCGACAAAAGCCTGTAGTCTAGACGTACCCTAAGTTATAGCCACTGATTTTAGCATTCTCGTCATGTGACTCATGTCACCAACTTCAGTAACTACAACTAGACCGAATTTGTGCTCACAAATTAGCATAACATTTCCTCTTGTCTATTACCCAGCTACCTGGCACTGGTGCATAGACAATTCAGTAACATCTCATGTCTCTTTGCTTCCTTGATTAACTTTGTTCTCAACACTCAGTTTTGTGCTGAGTATTCATATCTTCCCTTTTCTTCCCTTTCCTTTTTCTCATAAGTTTAAAGCCATCCTGACTAGTTGAACCAGCCTGTCCCTGAGGAGATGGGTTCCCCTTTTCCTGATATGGAAGCCATTTCCTTCTTCCCACATAGGTGGCTCGATGTTTCACAAAACCAAAACCCTTAATCTTTCAGCAGTTACCTAGCCAGTGAATCACTTTCTAATGTTTCAGGATGAAGAAGAGTAATGAGGCCCATCTACTTGGATAGTATTTTTTTCATTTGCATGCAATAGAATATATGTAAGTATTACAAGTCATCTATGAAAACAATGAATAATTCGGTGGCACCTTAGGGTATGTCTAGACTACATGGCTCCGTCGATGGAGCCATGTAGATGAGTTTACTAGACATAGCAAAATGAAGCGGCGATTTAAATAATTGTCACTTCATTTACATCAAAATGGCCGCCACGCTGTGCCAATGATCAGCTGATCAGCACAGTGGGGCAGTCTAGATGCGCTGCGGTCGACAAGGGAAGCCTTTGTCAACTGCTCCGGTATGCCTCGTGAAACGAGGTTTACCGGAGTGGTCGACAAAGGCTTCCCTTCTCAACCGCAGCACGTCTAGACTTCCCCACTGTGCTGATCAGCTGATCAGCTGATCAGCTGATCGTCGGCACAGCTCAGCGGCCATTTTGATGTAAATGAAGTGGCGATTATTTAAATCGCCACTTCATTTTGCTATGTCTAGTAAACTCATCTACATGGCTCCATCGACGGAGCCATGTAGTCTAGACATACCCTAAGGTGCCACCGAATTATTCATTGTTTTTTCATTTCATCAGGTGAGTCGTCTATGGTCTATGATCTGTTAGACTTTTGCACAAATTTTCCATTGTTGTCAGTGAAGCAATTGAACTAGTCATAAGATTCAATTATGAAATGACTCTGTTTGAACATGTTCGTGTGAATAGATAGTAACATTAGGGAATTCATTTGACATAGTGTATTCATTATTTTATGCTAATAGAAATGCATTTTGAAATTTCTTAATATTCCATTGTTTCTTTGCTTGCACTCCTTGTTTTTTAGCCTTGTCCAATATTCCATGTAGCTATTTTGTCTATATTCCTTAAAATGAAATACACATCAGTCAATCTCTTCTTTTTACCAAGGGAGCCTCAAAAAGATGTCTCACAAGCTGCATGCAATTTATGTTAGCAACTTTGTTAACTAAAAATACAAAAATAGTGAAATTAAAATGAGAGAGGAATGAACATAAGTTTGACACCAACGGTGGCTACAGCTGCCCGCCCCAATGGTTTTTGTACTGATGATCAGATTCCAACAGCCAGACATCTACCCTATAAGAACCACCGTAACACTGCATCCAACCTACTATTTCAGACAAAACAACCAAATAAATATAATCCCTTAGAAACACTAAATCCACCCCAACATTAAGACAACACACAGTGGAACATGTGGACACCTGAGTGTGATTCTGCTTGGTTGAACAGAAAAGAAAATTCAATGGTTAGTCACTATAACAATAGATATAATCAGAAATTATACACCAATAAAATTTCCCTAGGATAGGAATCAGCCATTTGTCCTAAATACTAGCCCCATTTTATGGTGAGGTAGGAAAGAAAACCTTGTTGAAGCAATATGAGATGCTAAATGGCTATTGCTTCTCTCCCAGTTTAAAAGGGCAGTTCCAGGAGGGAAGCTGTCTTTCTCCTGACCAATAAAAAGGTGCCTTAGAGACCAATGGCACGGCCTCAGACAAATCTGAGTTTGTAAGTCAATTATTTGAAACTCAGAACACATTTTCCCATAGAAACAATGTTATAAATGATATTTATGTTCCCAGGGTAGCCCACAAAAGCCTACTTTAACCCACAATGTATCAGAAATACTGTATATGTGCAATGAAAAATAGTAGAAGTAGTTTTTTTATTAAACTTGAATGCTGATGCTTGAGGAAAGGCAGGTTTAATTAGGGGAGGATGGGCAGGTAGGTGGAGACTTTGAAGGAGACTTTTGGGCATTCTTTGCCTGCTCCCTCATGGGCTTTGTGCCAGCTCCTGCAGCCAGCCTTCCCTCCTACCCATGGGCTGCATGCAGCCCCTGCTCTCCAGGAGGTGATGAGCAGTGTGAGTGCGGGCTGGAGGACTCCAGAGCAGCTGTTGGTGGCTGTGCAGCTGGTGGCTGGAGAGAAGCAGCAGTTTCCCCTTCAAAGTGCCACTTCACTCCAGCCACTGGCTGTGCAGCCACGCCCTGCTCTTCCAGAGTCTTCCAACCAGCACTAGCACTGTTTGCCGCCACTTGCACCTCTTGCCTGCTTCCCTGAGGCTTTTGTCTGTATGTGTGGGTGTTCGTAAGTCAGATGTATGTAACTCGGGGAGTGCCTGTATAAAAAATAAAGCCAATCTTATTTAATTGTATTAACAACTACTGCAGACAACACTGATTTTTTTTTCTCCCTAGGCTGCACAATGAAGGTTGGTTAATAGATGTCTTTAAACGCATTCATGGTGAAGAAGCCACATTCTTCATTCCATTAGATCTAGAAATCTCTACTCAGGAACTGAGCTACATCATGAAAAAGGCTGAGCAATGGAGAGGCATCAGTGGAGAAAGACGAAAGGTGAGTAGCGGTGAAAATCTGGGAAAAGAGCTTGTGATGTGTTGATTCAAAAATAATGCTTGGTTTGCATGGATGTAACTCGGAGGAAAACAATCACATAATATGAGAGCTTCAGGCAGAGAGCACTTTACCAGTTCTGTGCTCCGGCTTTTAAAACTATGAGAGACACCACATTCAGAGAGACAAAACTGGAAAGGCCATTTGCACTCATGCTGGCTGCAGACTGCTAGTAATGTTACTGAACCCTGAACTTTTTAAAGAAGGAGAGTTGTTTCCAAGTTCAGCACCCTGATGAGCTAAATGTGGGAGAATCTCCTAGAGAACCACTGCAAGGAAGGTTGCTGGGAGTCTAGTGAAAGTGATCTTGATATCTCAGTGAGTCACTGCCTGTGTCAGCCAAATTTTGGTGTCCTCCCTTTCCTTCCCAGGGGACCCACATGAGGGTATATAGGCCAATGGTGGGATGATAGGAGTTACTATAGAGAACTTTTTCCTGGGTGTCTGGCTGGTGAGTCTTGCCCCCATGCTCAGGCTTCAGCTGATCGCCATATTTGGGATCAGGAAGGAATTTTCTCCAGGGTAGATTGGCAGAGGCCCTGGAAGTTTTTCACCTTCCTCTGTAGCATGGGGCATGGATCACTTGCGGGAGGATTCTCTGCATCTTGGGGTCCTTAAACCATTTGAGGACTTTAATATCTGAGATATAGGTGAGAGGATTATTTTAGGAGAGGGTGGGTGAGATTCTGTGGCCTGCACTGTGCAGGAGGTCAGACTAGATGATCATAATGGTCCCTTCTGTCCTTAAAGTCTATGAGCGTATGAGTCTATGAGGAGCCACATGAAGGGAGGGTGAAAGGCATTAGGTGGACTGAACATGGAATACCAACTTTGGGTGACAAAAATGGAGGATTCATATTGCCCTTCTGCCTCCCCACCTCTTCTGTACTGTTTTATACTTAGACTATACATTATTTGGAGGCAGGAACCATCTTTTTCTTCTGTGTTGTACAGCACCTAGCACAGTGCAGTCCTGCTCTATGAATGAGGCTCTTAAGCACTACTGCAGTACAAATAAATAACAATAATATCAGTGTTCCAGTATGTACCCATGTCTTTCTCCCTCACTCTTAAGCTGTAAGCTGCCATCATTTACTTTCTAAGCTACTACTTTTAATATGTTAATGAGCAATTATTAATTTAACCAGGGACAGATTTACAAATTCATGAACTCCTCTATGCCTGCAGTTCGAAGCGACCACCAACTCTTTGTGCAGTATCTTTTTTAATTCAGCAAATATAGCTAGTTAGTTACATATATGAAATAAATGAGTCAGTTGCATCTTTATATTTGACACTGGATACAAATTCTATTTTGACTTTTATTATTTTTAAAATATACTGAAACTAGTGATTTCAAATAAGTTTCTGCAAATGTTGCAAGTCTCTCTGTAGCTGCAGCTAAGAGATCAGCAGTTTATAGCTTCAGTTGTCACTGACATAAAAATGTGACAACGGGAATTATTTTCCAGTGTCTTTCTTGATGATAGTCTGGACACAGAAAGGGGAAATAAAAAGGTGATGCACTGGCAATGTAAAAAACCCAAATACTCGGTACGGGCATGTCTTCACTCACCACACAGGAGATCAATGTTCTGGGGTTTGATTTAGCAGGTCTAGTATAGACCCATAAATCGAATGCTGTAGGTAGCTCCAACTGGCACCTCTACTCTTTGCAGTTGCAAGGAGTAAAGGAAGACAACAGCAGCATTTGCTCCTATCAGCCTTCCACTGGGTGGATGCTTCCAAGCTCGGTTTAAGGTAAGCCAACTCCAGCTACACATTCTATGTGGAGTTGCATACCTTAAGTCGACCTTTCAGGTATAGTGTAGACTTGGCCTAAGTTCAGCTTTTCCTAAAGTGCAGTGTGCTTAGCCTTATTTGTGGGGAGGGGATGAAGGGGAAGTATTTAAAGTATAAAATTGCATACCGCAGAAAACTAAGACATTCCTTGGATAACATTAGTTCCTTGTTAATGTGAAAAAGCAAGTTTAATTTTTTATACTGGGTCAAAGCAAAATAAATGATTTTGTTTTCACTTCTGCCTAGTACATAAAAATGAGGCCAAATAAACTCATTTCATAAGCCCGAGCAACTACTGACATATTGAAAATTATGGTAGACTAGGCACCTGCAAACAGCCTTTGTCTTTTAAAGGGACTACTACACTATATTATTCAGCTTACCGTTTTTTCCCCCAATAACATAGAAAGGGCTCAGAGAGAAAAGTAAGTGAATTAAAGGAGAGGAGAGAACAAAAAAGGTAAATAAAAAAAGGGAAAAAATGTAAAGTTAAAAGTAGTCTGATATCAGGTAGAAGAAAGCTTCCAAAGTAATTGACAAGTACTAAATGAAATATTTTTTACATAATAAAACTACTGAAAGAAATCAGACACTTAGAAATATTTTTTTAAAAATTTCATAGAAGCTTTGCTCATGGTGTAGAATTTTGCATGTTTATCATGGTAGTCTTGCAGTGTATAGGCCTGATCCTTTAATGTTACAGAGCCCTGCAATTATTAAAAATGAATGTTGCCTTTAAGAAAAGTTTTTTCCCTATTCAGCAAGTAAATTCTTTGTGGTATCAGCTGGATGCCTTTAAGAAATCAGCCATCTGATATGGATAAATAGAGATAGTGGGAGAAATAAGTAGGACAGTGGGTGGGAGAAAGTGATGGACCTGTGGGCAGAATGCTAAATTCTGCACCAACAAAATGAGCGGGAATTCTAACGTTGATTTCTAAGTGCTCAAGATCAAGCTCATCATGAGTGTAATATCTGAGAGCAGAATGCTGCCACTTCTTTCCTGAAACTAAACACCTAAGCTATATATACAACATAGTAATAATATTAAGGGATGTCTTCTAGAGACATGTGTTTTCTTATGTTTGTTAATTATATCAGATTGATAGTTATTCATAACAAAGCAAAGATTTTGTTAAATGGCTACATCTGGGTAAATCTAGTATTTATAATGTAGCTGTTGTCTGATAGGAAAGCTCTAAAAACACACAGTTAATTGCTTGAAATCATGGTCATGCAGCCCTGCCTGAATGCATTTCAGTACAGGATCAGGGCTATGTTGCAGTTTTTTATATGATCCTGGGCTTTGCAGATTTGGAAGTGCTTTTGTGCTGTGAATTAGCATAAGATATTTATCTTGTCCCTTTCTTTTCATTCTATTTAATTGTTCAAAGTAATCAGTTTGAAAGACACACCACCAGGCCTTATAGCGTACAATATTAATGTGATCATTTCTAAATGAGATACTAAGTTAACTTTGAGCAGATTTGCAAATGATAGTGCAAGAATGCCAAATCGTATATCTCTATCTATATAAATATATAGCTACATTAAATAGAAGCAGTCCAAGTAAATATTCAGTCAAACCTTTTAAAGAAAATTAGGTCTAGGCCTTTGCAGTATTTCCTGTCTCTTAACCATGTGCTTCTCATTTTTATCTTCTGGATTAAAAATTACCCCATAAATGGATATTTTATAATATGCTTAATTTCCTTTTATTAAATTGATAAATGTAGCTGCAGAGGACACATTTACAGTATGATGAGAATTTAAGGTTATTGCATTTTATAATTTTTATATTGTTCAGACAAGCGATTTGTCATTTCTGGAAAGACAGTCATGCCATCATTTCAAAGTATTTTTAGCCATTCTTTTGATAGGAAAAAAGTCACTTTCTGTAGTCAGAGAAGACATCACTCTATTAAACTGATTTGCCTATATGCAAATTTTGTCATTTTTACCTCATTAACTATTTATCATAGAGTAAAAAATATATATTCATGAAGGGGCAGCTAGCAGCCTGATGGAGCTGGAACTAATATTTTGCAACTCTAATGATTTTTTGCATCCTTAATTAGATAGCATAAGGTTGATATGATTAGGTCAGGATGTAGTGTTTTTCATTAAAATACATTTTAGAAGCTGTATTCATAATCTGCCCCTGCAATTAAAAATGAGCCCATGAGTTTAATATTATCACCCCAATTATTATCCCATGGAAAAGTATACCTTTCATAAATTTGTGCCGTAGGACCTTCATTAACAACAAAAAGAAATAATATTTCCAGGTATATAAATTACATGGTCACAATCACATTTATGTAACAATTTGGAACATATTAGTGGTGGGGAAAGACTTCAAGATTCAGGTAGTTGATTTCAGAAATTTGTTTTATTATTTTTGGATAATTAATTCACATTGCATTTAAGGAGCAAGCTGTAGAAAAGTAAAAATACCACCTTAAAGAGCCACACAAAGACATGTGTGGTGGTGGTAGAGTAAGAACTACATTAATAGTGGCTATAGGCCCTGATCCTGCAATCTGGTCTATGCAGGCAGCCTGTTATTTCTGCATGCAGACCCATTTATGTTAATTGAGCTTGGCATGGTTGAAGGGTTTATCAAACTGCAGGATGAGAGCAATAGTTAAGGTTGAATACAGAAAAATATAACATCTTTCCAGTGCTAATAAAGTCACTTAAATGTGTGAGTGTGTGTATGGGGAGGGGAGATGTCAAAATTATCGATTTAGCCTAGGCTTTTTCTTTTAGCAGATGAGTCACATTAAGTACTAGAGTAAGTACTAGAGATCAGATAAAACTCCATTGTCAAATTCCCAGAATAAGTTAGATAACAATTCAGAGCTTTGTGACAGCTGGTATTTTCTCCTTCTAAGTCAAGACAGAGACCATCAGGATTTAGGAAAACACGGAAGTATACCTACTGGGTACGGTGTACTGTCCTATCTCATGGCAGCTAGCCTACTTGCAATAAAGAAGAATGAGTCTCCTCTGCCACCTTAGTTGTAAGCCAGGCTGAGGTTCATGCACTAAGCTCCAGAGGTCCCAGGTTCAGTTCCGCCTGTTGATGTTACACATGCACTTAAGTTCATCCCTAGTTGGGGAAGTAAACTTAAGCA